TCAGGCTACAATTTTGTATTTTGATAGTTTTCCCACTTTCGTGCCAGTTCACATGGCATTTCTTTCCACAGCCCAAATGAAGGAACATGGCTGGGTTCTCTGTTCAGCTCTCACACCCAAGGCAGCAGATCTGGCTGATCAGCCTCCTATAAAAGCCACCGACATTTCTCAGAGCAGGCTTAATAGTTAGAATATAACATATAAACACGTAGGTGTCATCTTGTTTTTCTAATGGTCCTGATGTTCTGTCTGTCATTGGAAATCCTTCACTGACCAATTTCCAGTTGCTTAGGCTAATTTTTTATAGTATTGCTGACTCTTAGCACACTGCAGGGTATCCCTACAGTTATCTCAATATGGTATTTCAACAGTTATATGGGAAGTCAACTGCTTTCTTCTTATTTCAAAATCTTTTAATCATAGAACATGCACCAAATGGAACACTAACAGTTAACAGAGCTAGAACTGGGCTAATTTCTGGGCAGGGACTCGCTTGTCTCCTGCTGTGCAATGTAGAGATTGTGTGCTGCAGTGCCTTTCCTTTCCTCTGTAAACCCTTGCCTAGACCATTATTAGACATGACTACTAAGCTCCACATGAAGATTTATGCAGCAGCAGCTTCACTTCATGCCTTAGGTATGATCTCAAGTTAAGCAAAAATGTGCAGGATTGTATTTTTTTTTTTATGATTTGATTCCATTTCTGTGTTTATTTGAACCACGAGACCAGTGAGTACGTTTAATCGTTACACGTAGCCATGAATGAAGATCTACTTTTTCTCTAAAAGAGAAAGGAAAGCAGGAGCAAATGGCAATCTATCTACTGTATAATGCACGGGACATTGCAGATGTTAAAGAAGCTCGTTGTTTCTGCATCTAGACCAAGTAGGTCACACACAGTTATTATATACACTGCTGAACATGAAGCAGCCAATACCCGTGTAATGTATGTGAGCTTTCAAACTACCTTTCAGTACTTTATAGTAGTATAGCACCTTGCTTGCAGATGCTTTGGTTGAAAGCAACTGATGGAAGGGGGAAGGGACCCGAAGCTGACCGACCTAATTGCTCTGTGGATTGAGAAGCTGGCAAAATCATTAGTTTCTTTTATATGTTTTCTTCCTATACTATAATAAAGATAAATATTGATTGCTAGAGCAATATTGATTGTAGGGGTCACTGCAGATGGCAGCTGCATGATTTGCACAAATATCTCCCACGTACAGCGCCACTTATTTGCATGAGAATTCAGTTTCACCATCCTCATACGCTGCAGACTGCTCACTTGCCTTATAGGAGCATTTACCCAAACTATATATATCAGCGATTAGCAGTAAAATATGAAACAGAGGACTGAAACAGTTCATCTTCTTAATACATTTTGTGTGTGTGTGTCTGTCTGCTGTGGCTAAGTGGAGTTTATTGTCCCAGCTGTGCAGAAAGAAGCACAGGACACAAGGGACCTGCTGTAATTGTGGTGCAACATCACCACCTCACCTGGGAATACCACCCATCAGCACAGCACACCTGAGATCGATGGTCCTTCCCTCACCCACTGACCTAGACACAGAACATGCCAAGTCCTTTCATTCAGGTCTAGATGCTTTCCTCCAAGCTCCCAGCTTTGGGTCATCAGAGACACAGTGTCTGTGCAGAATGGGACTCAGCATCTTCTCCTGAGCTGAACCTGCCCAGTGGGATCCTTGCAAGAAATGGAAAGTGCCACTGCAGCATGGGCCAGGTTCATGAGGAGGGAGGGAAGTTGCCTACTACAAGCATGGTGCCTACAGCAGAGCACAAACCCCTACTCTCAGCCAAAGGGGAGCCCTTGGGGTGTGTGGGACAGAGTTTCAGGAAGCAGCAGGGGTATTTACACCCCTTTTCATCATTGGTGCAAACCCCTAAACGGCCCATTCAAGGTCTGGCACCTCCTGGTGGGGATACTGCTGCCTCTCTCCTCCACCTGCAAACTCCAGGAGAGAGGAGGGGGAAGGCAGAAGAGCAATCTACAGAGACAGCCTCCTCACCTCCTCGGACACTGCCAGGCTGCAGGGAAAGCGCTCTCTTGCGAGCACACTGTACATCTCTGCGTGCCTGTCTCGTAGCTAGCAAACTGCATCTTATTCTGAGCAATGCTGCACTTCCAGACTGCTGCTGGCTGACCTGCTGATATTGAAATTCAAAGGAAAAGCATGCATATTTAACCCCAATTCATCATTCTGATTTTGATTAACTCTACAAGTCAGAGGTTTGCAGGCTTTAATCTTGTTCTAAGAAAATACTCCTGTCCTCTCTTCTCGGCGTTTTCCAACAGGAAATTCAACAGAAGGGTTTTTCCTATTATTTATCTCCTTCCACTTAACTTGGACACACCGTGGACCTCTGAAATAGCTGCCCAGTATCTATCCAAACCATGGCTTGTCCAGTGAAGAGAGTGGTCTTATTTCCTCAGTGGCCCATAAGGAGGAGATTAATACTGGAATCCAGGTTTCTGACACGGTTATGCACTGACACTAAACCACTTTAGCAGATGAGCAGGCACTCCATTTGGTGAGTACTATTTATATAAAGTGAATATTTCATAGATGCTTTTTGGAAGATCTTAGAAATACACCACAGTTCAGAATGTTACGCTTCATTCTTCATTTCCTTTTAAGTATATCTCTCGGGGTGTTATGTTGAGTAGCCCTGTCTTATAAAATCAATTATTCCTTAGCCAGCTCAGAAATAAAACCCAAAGTAAGCAACACCAAATGTCTGATTTACCAATAGATTGCAATCCAGTGCTAAAGAGCATAGCCACTGCCCTGCTTTAAATATTCATGAAGCCCACTGGTGCAAAATGCATTAAAGGTGGGAATAATGCCAGTAATACACGATCCTCTTAGTGACAAGAAGCTTTTACATATTAAAGTAGCAAGATGTTAAAGACTTTCAACTGAAGAGTCTTTGTTTTTAACTTAGAGGAAGAGATTCACTAATGGAATGCCAAATTGCATTCACTCTCGTGATATTAGATTGCAGAATAGGATAATAACACATGTGTGCTTTACCATGCTGTGGTAAACCTGTTATTACAGTGGCTTCTTTTCTGCCTTTTCTACGTACTTTCTAGAAAGCGTTGACACATAACTCTTACCCCTTCAAGTAGTTTTCTGTGTGACAAACCCTCTGTAAGAATCCCAGGAGCCTAACCATTAACAGATTGGTTTTACGCAAATAAGAAGATTTAAAAATAATGGTGACACAGTACAATAGCACAATTTAGCTGAGTGACAACTGGCAAAGAATAACCAAAAAAAAAAAAGGAAGAGTAAAACCAGAGACAAGGGACTGCAAAATAACAGACTGTGGCAATGCAGAATAATGTTAATTGTCACTTTAAATCATCGACAGCACAGCCACATCTGCTATCACACCTGTGCTCTCTTCTCTGATCTACTCTGGCACCCTAGAAATATTAGGCAAACAGCCAGCCTCGTACCTCCAGCTCTCTGCGGTCTGCTACCAGCTTGCATCCCTCTTACCTGGAATGGATCAGGCACTGACCCTGCACCCTCAACTGTTTCTGACTGACAGGGGACACTGACAGTGCTGGGCTCCTCACCCTCTAACAGCAGGTCCCGGGGCTGCTGGGACCCACTGACCCCATTTGGATTTTGCAAACCTTATCAGTTAGGTGAGCTAGCTAGAGGAGCCTTGTTTACATCTGAAATTTGATCCACATAAAAACAGTGATCAAATAATAAACTGAGATTTCTTTTCCCACTTAATCTAAGGATTTTTTCTGCACACCAAATCTTGGCAGGGGGAGTGAGGGAATATGTCTATCTTGTGCCAAACATGGAAATTCAATTAACGTACATTTGAAAGAGGAATCTAGGTCCCCCATACATAGTCTGCTTTTATTCTAGAAATAAGAATAACAAAGAGCTAATACCCAGAAGGCTAATTTTTTAGAAAGACGTTTATCCAAGACTAATCAGGGGGCAGGGACAGGAAAACAGGGCTCTGTTACGGCATATGAAGTTGTTTACTTCAAAGTAGAACTTTAACAGGCTTTACATGGTCTTTGTACTTCTGGTTGGAAATCTGCTTTCCTGCCTTTTAACAGTTTGTCTGGTAGCATCTTCCCAGGACATGCCCCTCCCTGCTTCCTGCCCCGAGAACTGTCTTCCCCTGCAGAAAGGCTGCCTGTCAGTGAAGAGTGAGAACTTCAGCTCCTGCAGTCATTACGCTGCTCCATATAAGCCAAGTTGTTTCAAAGGGTTGGAATTAGTGCAAAAGCTGCAGTGGGAACATTACTGGGATAAGTTGGATCAGGCTATTCTACCAAGCTATTTCTGGAAAAAAATAAACACTGCTACTCAGTGCTTATGATTAATAATGTTATCCTGTAGCTAATTTTATTCCTTGCCCCTCTCTTCTCCTGCCTTCCAATTTGGAAGTGCACTTAATTATGAAAACATGAGCACTAGACTGTGAATTCTGATATATTAATTTTACCATGGTTTTGATTCTACACTGCATCACCAAAACTCTCAAGGACAACTGGTCAAGGAGACAATGCAAATTCTGACACCTGGGGTAATTTTCTTAAGCAAAGTCAAAATTAAGCAATTTCTTCCACACAAATCTCACTACATTACTGCAAACCTATAACCATGTTGCATCTTGCTCCTGTTTTTCAACACAAGTTCTTCTGATGACCAGAGCTACAGCAAGGCCTCTGTGATTTGTTTGCTTGGTGTTTTTTAAAGACTAGAACCGGAGATTATTAAACCCCTGTCAAGACAAAATCAAAAGGAGGACAAACGGATGGCCATGACCATATTCCTATGCTTCTTCACCGAAGAGTAGAAATGTTCATAATTTCATGCCTGACCAACAGTGCACGGGTGCCTTGCCTGGAAGAGGTACCCAACACTGGGCCCAATTATCATGTTCTCCCTCCCTCCCTCCCTCCCTCCCTTAATAAAAGAGTAGACCAAAGTACTGTACCAAACATCCTCTGCATCTTCGTCACACTCTGCCCCAAACTGGCAAATGTCACAGGTCGATGTCTCTTTTTGATTGGTTTCACCTGAGCCTTCATTGACTGTTTGATGGAAAGCAGAAGAATATACATTAGTAAAGACAGCACTGTAGCAAAGCACTTCTCTCGCTCTAGAAAAATCTATTCATTGTGTCAGCTTAATGTGCTGCTCACAAAGCTGATGCCTGGCCAACAGACTGTTTTTGAATGGGGCCAACACAGACATTTCCATGTTTGTCTCTGATAAATTCCCTGAATTATGGACTTAAAAGGGAAACTGGTGAAAGACTCTTCCTTTTTCACTTAAACAATGACCCTTTCAAGCTGCAGCCCTGGAAAGTTGTGTCACCACTGAGCCTCACTGCTTTGTTCCCTGGGAAAATAACAGAGGTGTATTGATAGCATCACATGTTGCCTTGTGTCCTTTACTGGTGAAGGTCTTGAGATGGACCCAAAGGGATGCTTTCCTTGAAAATGTTTTGAAATTACTTGCTGTGTGGTGCAATCTAGTCCATTCCAAAGGCAAAACATTTTTCTCTTCAGAAGTACAGCTATGAGCCCCAAGGACTAGTTATCTCTGGCAGGAAAGATTTAGTGCTGTCCAGATAAGGGGACGATCTCCAGCGTAGGTTAAATGTGAAACCCAGGAAATTCAACACCAGTGTTTGCAATTATGTGAGGTTTGTACCTGGCCCTTAAGTCAAAACCATGAAGGGACTAAAGGGAAAATAGAAATATGGGTAAGAGGACTGTGTAAAAGTATTGATGGCTGAGTACTGAAAGAAAGAGACCTCTAAAGTAGGCACCAAGAAGAGGGTTTGTTAAAAGATCCAAAAGAAACATTATCTACATTTGTATTAAAGTGTATAAGCACCTTTTGATATCTTTCGATAGGTGCTGCTTTCTAGTAAGACACTGTATGCAGAGATATCCTTCTGCCAGTTACAGAATAATTAAACCAACCCAGACTTTTAAGTATCAATCAACTTTGACTGATGTTGCTATCTGCATAAACAGCCTCTGCAGTGTCATCCTTTCGTTTCTCTCTTTCAGTTGGAGTCAGCACTGTGGTGTAGGCTTACTGCACATTTCGGTCCAGCCTACAAAAGCTGGTGGACATTCTGAAGTGTGTTGCTAGTCCTGGTGACATTGACGTGACAAATCACCTGCCTGATGTTGTACATCCACTGCATGAGACCGTTAGCCCAGGCGCTACCCATCAACTGGGTTGTTACCAGAGGCTTTCGGGTTGGAGTGCTCTGACTTTGAATAGGCTGCTTTTGTTATTTACTTGAGAAAGGAAAAGAGTCCCAAGCTTTCACAAAGCTGTTGGAGGAGAAAGGGCTTTTGCCCCTAGAAAAGCAAGTGTGACCCCAATGCCTGTTTTACAACAAACTTGCTTTCTTCTTCGTAAGTTATTTAACCTCTGCCATGTTTCCCACTGTGTAAATGGGAATAATACCACTTTCTGCCAACAGAGAATATAGAAACAAGTATATTAAAAGATCACGATATGCCTAGATACTACAGTGATACAGACCATAGAAATACCTAAGGTAGATAGTTTGTCTCAGAAATTTTTTCCTAAGGTTTAATATAGTCAAAGAAAGTGTTGGTATGTTTAGGTATGAGCTATGCTGCAGCAATTTTTTATCAGCTGTGCTTGAATTTAGACTATATTAAATTGAAAAAAAGACACCTATAATGAGCATTCAGATGATCCTAAAAGGAAAAAAGAGGTTTTTTCCCCTCTTTGTAGAAGTTTGCTCACCTTTATATCTATAAAATTCAGATACAAAAAAAACAAAGGGGAAACTCAGAAAGCATACACTGGATTTTTGTTCTAATTCATTGACAGGTTTTGTAGGGGGGGACTGAGCCAGGGTTTTTCTGTTTCCTTAAATGACTGTGGAAGTCTAGGCTCACCATTTTTAAGAGCCAATCTTCAAAGGTGGACAAGGTATCCAAGTGCCATCTTCTCACACCATCAGCATCTCCACGTGCCACGTGTGTGATCCTGACCCAACATCGCAGTGAGGCCCATGCTGCTGTACAGCTCCTCCCCACTTCTGTGCCGCTGCATCCAGGCCCAAGTTCTTTACTAAGTTTCATTTACATTTTAAATACAGAAATCTCTTTTACCGAGGAGATAACTTTGACAGCCAATCTTGGTTGGGAATTTCCAGTGGTTAATATTATACAGGATATGTAACAAATGACTATACAAAGGACAACAGGACCTATGGGCAGAAGACTTCTTATGACAGCCAAATGCTCCTTATCTCCCAGGAATATGACAATTGCTCCAGTTCAGGAGAGTGAGAATTTATTCTCTACGGAAAAGAGCTATAACTTATTAATTTTGTTCTGCAAATCACTTCCCTTGTATTTCATTTTAATTAAAGACATATGCCCTATTTTTTTTCCTCTCTGTAATGTTTCTATTTATAACTGTCTAGCAGGTGTGGTTTGACCAGGGTCTTCACATGGTTCCACATCACAAGCTGAGTAAAATAGCTACTTCAGTCACTAAAGGAAGGCATTTGAAAGATTGCTTATGTTGAAAAGAAATCACTGATTTAGAGAGGAACATCCACAATAAGGCACAAGGAAGTTCTTAATTTCTACTAGAAAATAATAGGTCACTCCTTCATGTTTTTCTGAAGAAACTCTGCATCCACCATTCCATAGTCAATGTGCATGCTGTCATTAAATGTCCAAGCCTGAAGCAATCTTGATTAAAAAAGACAGCTGTTTACCTCTCTCTTTTTTTTTTTTTTTTTTTCCTTTTGTCACTAACCACAGATAATATTATTCTTTACATTTCCTTAAGGTGTGTTTTCTCTCCCTGTGCAAACATACACACTGGTATGGGCACCCACACCCAGGACTGACACACACAGGGGCTTGTTTTCTCCATGCTGTGCAGACAAGTGCTTTGATAAATATGGACATCTTAGAAAGAGTTACTTTCCTGATATTTCCTGTTGCTTTATAGCTTGAGGACTAGTGGATAATCATTTTCTAACGTGACTCTTTTTCATTTTTTTCCCCTCACTGCACTTGCTGATTTGCACTTGCTTTTATATTTCAACTAAAAAAAAATAGCAAAGACAATCTAGTTTCCAGATTCCTCTTCCAAAAATAAAGAGTATGACTCTCTTTTTCTCATGCATGTTACATAGTTCTCATGTTAGCAATGACTTAGGTTTAACACCAAGATCCTGTAGGAATGTTGCAGGGCTCCAGGGAAGCTAATCGCTGAAGCCCACTCCTTATTACTCACACAACTGAGAAATGTTAAACTGCAAGTTCCTATTTGTATTAGCGAGATTAGCAACATCCAGAGTTCAAGGAAATGTGCTAACACAGGTTAGAAGGTCACTAACATTATCTGAAAGTCACTTCAGAGACTATCTCAATCTCCTAAGTAATATAAATTCTTTAGCTGGGAAAGCACTACACACAATTTACAGAGTCAATGGACTGTGGTAACCACAACAGCTCCTGTTTTAATCATTTGCTCCTTTTCTGGTGTTCTCACTGCACTCTGATCAAATAGTCACGATTTCAGGAATATCTGTATTGCTCGCAAGCCCCATAAGAAAGAAATAATTTTTGAGATATTTTACTTTGTTTCCATAGCTAAAAAAACCCCCCGCAACTTAAAGTATCATCAGTGGACTGGTCTGACTCTGTGTTTATCTCCTGTAATATCAGAACACTAAAAGCCCCAAGCTGTCCCCCTGACATACACACCCCTACTTCCTCTTTACACTTTGAGTCAGGAGTCTTCTGTAGGAGCTACAAAAAATCATGCTATGACTGCATCCACACAGCTTCCCAGACACATGCTCTACTAGGAGTTGATGACTGGTGGTTTAGCTGGTTTAAGAAATGGATGCCAAAATCTCCGTGCTCAAGCTTCTGCATAACCTTCACTCAGTGTCTTCCTAAGATGCTTGACAAGTGTCAAAGGCAGGATGGAAATAAACTGTTTCCAATTTCCAGAAAAACAGCTCCAATGGGATGGATAGGAATATACACAGCAGCTCACAGCCTCAATCTGATATACAAACCATCACCTATTTCCTAAGTGACACGAGGGATATGCATGTAACTTGCCTGATGGACTATACTGTGAGGAGTAAATGGATGTGGAAGGAGTAGCTGGTGAGCCATGAGGAAGAGAGACAATTAGGTAGCGACATTGGTTAAATCTCTCAGTCTCTCTTTGTTAACATGTCTCTGGAGGCAACAGGGCAAACTCGAGAGTGTCGGTTCAGTTTTCATGTGGCTCTGTAGGACTGCTAACAATACTATAATAATCCTTATTAAACATGTTTTCGCTATACTGGAGAACACAACAAAGAAACAGTATAAAACATTCTCATCACCATGCACTTGAACATACAGAAATATGGCTATAAAGAATTGTTATGATTGGGTTTTGTATTATGTAGTCTTTCTTTGATTGATGTGATCACATGTGCGCATTCTGACTTGACTCCTCATGGTGGGACATCTTTGACATTGTTGAAAGGAGAATTTCAAACAAAGCTTGCTCTAACTCATCCTAACAGGATATCCACTTGTTTTTAGCTATAAAATCTAGGTAATAACAAAAATCCTGTGGAGATGAGGGTTGATGGCCATTTTTGTATTTTGGAATGAAAGTAAATGTGCAAATTAAAATGTGGAGAAAAATGCTCTTCAGAACAGTAGAGATGACCTCACCACATGCTTCAGTCCTAACAGGAGTGATCTGGGTAGGTGACAAGATGAGTGGATGGATGGAGTGAGAAAGCTTTGAAAAACCACAGCAGAGAAGCCAGCAGAATTTACTAAATATGTTAGAACAAACACTACCTGCACCTCTGCCAAATGGCTAAAAACACCTCACGAACTCGACCAGTAGAAGCCTGAGATCCTGCAAACTTCACCCTAATCAGTAAGACTTTTTTCCTGAAAGCATTAGCTCAGTCAAAACCTGCAAAGTGAGAAAAATTAAGGGTGCAAAGCAGGGGGTCGACCCATGAATGACTGTTCTCCAAGTCTGGCAG